CCTCTCCTCTCCCCTCCCCTCCTCTCCTCTCCTCTCCTCTCCTCTCCTCTTCCCTCCTCTCCATCAACATGTGTGTTTCCTGTCAGCGCTCAGCAAACCGCACGTTCAACGTCAGCCTCATGTAAATATGGATTATTGTTACAGCTGCAGCATCAACAGCTCCGACACCATGTGGCCGAAAGTATGTGGACAGATCAACACATTTTAATCCTCTGGCTCTGGATCAGACGAGTCAGTCAGTCGTTATCTTCTGTTAGAAATATCAAAAACATTATTTTTGATATCTACAGTTTTAATGTTGACAGCTGAGGCTTTATATCTCAGGTTGTCCATCTGTCTCATTCTCGTGAGCGTGATGTCTTAACAACACCTGGAGGACATTTATTCAAATTCAAATCAGGCTTATTTTTACCAGAGCAAAAAGTTTTATTACTATAGAAAACTAAAAAATATTTTTTTTACTGAAAGTTTTCGTAAAAAGTAAAATTAAGTTGAGATCAACAGCTGCAAACTGAAGTCAAACCTTTTTTAAAATGGAAGTTTGTATAAAAAGTTACTAAAATATCGCTGAGATTCTTCGTCCAGCTGTTTTTTGTTTTTCCAATATGGAGGATGAGCACATGCAGACTCAGGTAACATTTGTTCCTCTGTAACACTGTATGAAAATTTCACATCACAATGACAGTGACAGAAATGATCAGGGTTATCACAGTGATGTTAAAATGTCCAAAACTACAGAGACACTTACTGAAATCTTTTCGTCAAGTTTTAAATTCAAACCAAAACTGAAGTCATCAGCTCTTTTTGTTTGTGTATCGGCACCTTCTGTAATCATATAAAAACCATATCACGTGTGCGTTAACATTAAAGACAGCCCGTCTTTGAAATGCTTGCTGGAGTGTCTGTGTCCCTGTGGATGCAGACAGGTATCAGTGACATCACTGGGTTCACCTGCTGCACGTTCACTCTGTCAACAAAGCTGCAGTAAAACGATCGAACGCTGTCGCGTGCTGCGTCTGGGAGACCGTGAACCAGCTCTGGTTGGTGTCGGACAGAATTACAGAGAATTTTTCAAAAACACTTCAAACTTTGTTTTAATGATGATTAAATTATAAAACACTGATACTAACTGTCGGGAATTATCATTAAACCAGTGACTGTCTCGTCCCTGTTAGCGTGCTAACACGCCAAGCTAAGACAGTGAACACGTTAAACATTACACCTGCTGACAACAACACAGCCTCACACTGCTGCAACTGTAACTGATCTGAGATGGACGGACGCCACGTGGCTGCAAACTAAAGTAACCCCCTGAGGACAATAAAGATTGATCGATTGATTGATTGATCAGGGAAACCTGAGGAGAGAGGAGCTTGAAATTAACCAGGGGCATTTTTAACCATGAGGCGTTCAGGACATCCACAGATTGTTGTTTTTGTTGAGTTGACGTGCATCAGAAGTTTTTACCTCGGTCTGTGTTCGGTCACTCAACTGTTGGTGTTCGTTTTGTTGTGTCGCACTGTCCAGGCAGCGCTCCGTAAAGAAGCGTTAACGGAGCAGCTGCTGTCTTTAAAACTCTTTTTAAAAAGTGTTTAAGTGATGGAGCTGAACCTGCAGAATCACACTGCAGCTTTATGAAGCTGTTTAATCCACTGTGAATATTTTACGTCTGACAGCAGAGAAACTTTTATTCGTCTCAGTGGAAATCAAACCAGTGTAAACAAAAATATTGGCTCTGGTAGAGACACTCACTCCTTGTCTCCTCGTCTCCTCGTCTCCTTGTCTCCTTGTCTCCTCAGATGTGTCGGGCAGTGCAGTCGGAGGTCACGGAGGCTCTCAGGGGGACAGAGGAGGTCTGGGTTCGGTCCTCAGAGATCTGGTTAAACCAGGAGACGAGAATTTGAGAGAGATGAACAAGAAGCTGCAGAACATGTTGGAGGAGCAGCTGACCAAGAACATGCACCTGCAGAAGGTAACACACACACACACACACACACACACACACACAGTAATCAGTCAATAGCTTATTTACTGTGATGCACAAAATTCAGATGGGGGCAGGAAGTGACATCATGTACTGTGTAAACAGGAAGTAGAGGAACATGATGACATCAGAGTGTTGGATGAAGGTACAGGCAGCAGGGATCATCAGAAAATTTAATCTCATGTTGGATGTGATCGAAACAAAATAAAGAAAAGTGATTTTTTCTCACAACTTGGCCGATTTGCTCGGTGTGGACACAATGGTCGTTACAGATGACCTCATCCTTCAGACCTCCTGACGTTACCAACGTTACAGTGTCTGTGAATTTCCCCCGTGTGGGAATAATAAAGTCTTAATTTATCTGAACCATTCTGTGTGGTCGGGTCCATGACTGAAACGACTGCCATCTTGTTTTTGGTCAGATGAGAAAATGTGCTTGATATATATTTCAACTCTGTACCTGGATGCACGACCATTGACTGTGATACCAGCTAACGTTAGCTAACGTTTTTTACCCACCAGGTCAACTGTCCCCAGAGGTCTGGTGAAACGCTGTCAGGCTAATGTTACCAGCTAACGTTAGCTAACTTAGCTACTGTTAGGTCTGTCTGGTGAAACGTTGTCAGGCTAATGTTATCAGCTAACGTTAGCTAACTTAACTACTGTTACGTCTGTCTGGTGAAACGCTGTCAGGCTAATGTTACCAGCTAAAGTTAGCTAACGTAGCTACTGTTAGGTCCGTCTGGTGAAACGCTGTCAGGTTAATGTTATCAGCTAACGTTAGCTAACTTAACTACTGTTAGGTCCGTCTGGTGAAACGTTGTCAGGCTAATGTTACCAGCTAACGTTAGCTAACTTAGCTACTGTTAGGTCCGTCTGGTGAAATGCTGTTACAAATCTTCATTGTGGCTAACAACATGGAGAAGTTGTCAAAGCACGCTGTAACATCTAACTCTAGGGATGTTTAGCACGATGGTTTAACATTAACATCTGACGTTAGCTTCGCTCTCCCAGACTGGAGACGGACATTTTTTGATGGACGTCTGCAACTGTGTCACAGAGACTTTTTTACTGTTTACATCCTGCTGTTGTCAGGACTTAAAGTGGCTTTTGTTTTTTCCGGATCGATTGATTGGAACAGTCGTAAACAACACGTCATGTGTTCAGTGTCGGTGTCTCTGGCTTCAGGCGCCCTCCACCTGGACAGCGCTCCGATGTATGATGTCATATGTAAAGAAGCTATCGTTTAGTAACAGACAGAAACCTAACGAACACGCAGGAGCTGATGAGTCTGACATCAGTGTGACATCACTGCGTCACAGGGGTTCTGGGTAGTGTAGTTCACTGCTGTGAGACAAACGTTACATAACTTTAAATCAACATGACGGACGTGTGAACATGAGTTTAATCTGCAGTGTGTGGGTGGGCCTAACTGTTCCCATGACGATGAGCTGGAGCAGCTTTAAGCATGCTGAGTGTGTGTGTGTGTGTGTGTGTGTGTGTGTGTGTGTGTGTGAGGCGGGGGGTGTAGTTGAGTTTTGAGGAGTGTGTAGGAGGATGGCTTGCCCAGAGGGAGGTCCAGGTTACACACACACACACACACACACACAGTCTGCAGTAACCTTGACAGAGGAGACCACTTCCTGTTTTCTGTTGGACTGAAATAATAAACTGATGATCAGAACTAATAACCAGTGAGGAGCTGCTGAGGCGCGGCGCTCTGTACGCATCACACCGTGTTAACTAGCGTGAAAATAACTCGTGTATCTGACCCGTGATTTAGATCCAAAATATATCAGCCCTCCTCCGGCCCTGCTGCAGCCTTCACACAACTCTCATCAAAACCAGGAACAGAAACATTTCTGGAGGAAACGACGTGAATAAAATCAGACTGTTAAAATACTACAACAATAACATGAAATAAAATATGACAATAATTTAATCTGAAATAAAATGAGTTTAAAATCTTCCACACGTTGTCTCTGTTTGGTTAAAAAAAACACCAGATGTGAGTCGAGCTGCTGAAATGAGACCATCAGTTCTTTAAAAGAAAATTAATCAGCAGTTACTTTGTCGATGAATCGTTTGTCATTTTGAAGCAGAAAACATTTTCTGTGTTTGTTTCTTTAATTTGAGGGTTTTATCATATTTGACAGTAAATGAAATGTGCTGGTTGTTGATTGTCGGTCGGATTAAACAAGACGTTAAAGAGCCAGTTTGTTTTTCACACACTGAACTGTTCATCTGCTAATTGGGAAAATGAATCAGTGGTGGAAATAATCATCAGTCAGACTCTCACAGCGTGACGCTGCTTTCACAATTACACAGTTAATTTATTTGTCAGTTTACAGAAAATGAATCTCTTTAATTTATTTTGGTATTTGTTTTATTACCAAAGCAGAAAAAACGGGGAAAAAATTCTGCTGCAGTTTCTCTGATTTTTAGTTTTCTCTGAATGTTTGTGTTTAAAGACGTAAAGACTGTTTGTGAGGAATCGTAAGGACTAACCAGTGTCCAGTGTGACATCTTCAAATGCCTGATCATATTCGACCAACAGTCCGAAACACAAAGAGATTCAATTTATTGAGATGGAAAGCAAAAGGAAATAAAAAGCAGAAAATCTGAAAAACAATTTTTCTGGATCGATAATTTAAATAATTACTCAACACTATTTTTGTTGCTCTGACAGAACGAAACATTTGAATGAAACAGATCAGTCAGTAGATAAAATAACGGTCAGTAGCAGATTGATTGATATGAAAATGATAACAACTGAGAGCTGGTGTCTTTGTTTCTGTAGGACCTGGAGGTTTTGTCCCAGGAATTAGTCCGTCTCAGTAAAGAGAGCAGTCCTGGTGGCAGTGCAGCCGGATCGGGATGAGTTTATCACCTGGATCCATCCGTCCATTTCCTTCCTTCTCACTACTATTATCCGCCTCAGCTGGAAGGTGTGGGCTGGGCTCAGACTAACACCTGGAACCAACATTTCTTCCTTCTCCCACTTCCTGCTTTCATGACGCCAGACCTGCTGTGGGCTTCAGCTACTGTCTGGAACCGCAGTGATTTCACCATCTCAGTCTGCCTGTTGGGCTACGACTAAATGCTGGACTCTGTTGTTTCTGAATGAAGAGAAGAAACAGTAAGTTCTTGCGTCGAAACTACACACCAGAGGGAATAGAAAGTCGGGCTCAGTTTATTTATGTTGCTACTGAATGTACTGTAATTAGACTGCACCACTCAGTTCCTCTGAGACCTGGCTACAACCTGGAACACATACATTGTAACAGACTTATGATTTGTATTGTAACGACTGTAAATCTTTACTGTCACCGCTTTCTGTGTCCGTCTGTCGGGTCCTGGCTATGTCCTGGAATACACTTTAACTGAATGAATGACTAACCTTATTGGTTTCTATGTGCAGTAACTCTGTTGTGATCTGGCTATTTCCTGAGCTTCCTGTCTGCAACAGAATACGTCAGTACTGAACACAGTGGGGTCTGTCTATAACCTGGATCATCGGAGAAGTTTTTATTGAGCTTTAAGATTAATTCCTGGAAACAGACGTTTGACGAAAACACAAGGATTCATTTATTCCCGGAGCTTTCAGCCACGTCTCATGAGCTTCATGATTTCCTTTGTTGTGGTCAGGTGATGATGAATCATCTCTGTGACGACTGAGCCAAGATCTGAGGTCAGACACATCATCCATGTGCGAGCGCAGAAACCCTGCGAACGCCTTTTCCTGCACATTATAAACGAAGAGTGTTCACACATCACGCAGACGTCAGCGTTCACACGGTTTCAGCAGCGAGATGATGAGGACGAGATTAAACTTCAGTTCAGAGACAGAAAACTGTTTTTAGGTTCTTTCCCAGTTTAACTGATGGTGTTAATTGTTGTCAGGCTGCGCAGCAATCTATTAAATGTCAAAGTGTATTTATAAAAGTTAATTTTAAATGTTATGTGAGTGATTAATGTTCATCATCAGGGCGGTACCCGACTCAGAATCAGACTTGACTGAATCGTCGTACACAAGGTGTCATACATCTGACAGAAAGAATGCGTCTGCATGTCTCTGTATCTGAGCGTCAACACAGTTTCAGTCATGAATCTACAGTTTTATTGTCTGTCCCCAGCTGTTGATGAAGTCCATGAGATGTAACTGAAAGCTCCAAGAAAAATAAGTTGACCTTTTTTTCAGGAGGTTTTTATGTCGTCCAAAGTAACAGAAGTTTAATTTAAGTGACCGTTCAGCCGGTAAATGTGGTCGAGGGTCAGGAGAGAGAGAAACTGCGTTCGAATCCAAAGTGTGGAAGATGAAGTGAACAGCGGGCGTCACACATGGGGGGGGGGGACGACATGATGGTGTTTAAAGATGGAGGACATTTCTGTCAAAATCACATCCTCTCTCCTGAAAGAACATTTGTGTTTCCCAGGATGGCGAAGGCTTGACTGGCCCTACTCTGCCTCTGATTGGCTCAGGGCTCATTTAGGGGCCGTACACATGCTGCGTCTTTTCTGCCCTTCAGCGTCACCACCCTCAAACTTCCATGCGTCCTTTATGATGTCATAGATACAGCCAATAGATGGCACCAGAGGGCGGAGTCAAAGGTTTCACATGGTAACAATCCAGGTGACGGTGGAGGAGGTCGTGATAATGTACCTTCAAACGGAGGCAGAGTTGTAGACGGCGATGGTCTGTGAAGTCTTTGAATACATCACAACATTTGGACAGAGAATTTTTTTTTACTCATTATTAAATTTGGTCTTCATGTCTCGCTTGAGCTACGCTTCACTGCCTCCACGATCTCTGATGGTTCTGCTCTGTTTCGTATGTACCCACAAGTTTTTTAAGAAAATGAGCACGAACACAGACGAGATGAACGCAGAGAACAGACAGAAAGCTCCGTCTGTCTCCGTCTCTGTCTCAGTATCTAATGTTGAGCGGAAATGAGCCCTCAAATGTGGGCGGGTTGTTTCCGTCCAGCACTGGCTCTATTTCCTCATCAGATGGAAGTCTGCACCTGGTTTATCGTCCACAGAACGAGGCATTTTGAAAACAAAATATAACGGGCTGCAGTGAGAGTCTCTCTATGGGATATTTAAAAACCACAGGTGTGTGCGTTGAGTTCCTGTCAGGCAGGAGGCGGGGTTTAATCGTGGCGGCGTGCACAGGAACAATGCTCCACTATGATTTTTCTCCAGTTGAGGATTACAATCTGTGCTGGTTTTAATTCAGCATTGAGTATTAATCAGCCGTCACCCTGGCCAGTCCCTCTCCTCTCACCGAACCCGACCAATCCAACCAACCATGGCAGTGAGTACCAGCCAATCAGAGCAAGAGTAGATGGGTCATTGTCATTGCTATCCTTGGAAACGCAAATTCACCTTTTGCAATAAATTCATAGCTTCGACCCCCGCTGGTCACATCATGATGCTGTGTGAAGAATAAATAAAGAGACATGTCTGTTTCAACGACCTGTTCACGACGAACGTCAGGGCGATGTGACGGAGCAATCAGAAGAACGTTAAATTATCAGAAAGTTCTGTCGACATTAAAAACTCTCGCACTCTGCTACGTCTCATCTTCTCTCAAACTCATTTCATCAGAGTGTGTTTGTCGGCCGTGGCTATGTCATGGAGCACAAACAGGCTGTACTCATGTTAACAGACTAAATGTTAACGTTTTTTTTTTTTCTGTTTGTGTTGGGCCATGGTTATTTCCTGGAAAAAACACCTGTCGTTCCCTGCAGAGTTGAGTTTTTGCGGCCCGGCTACGATGTGGGACGATTGTGCATCCCGTCTTTTATTTATAACTTTTCACTTTACTGGGATGTTTAATTCCTTGTGGAAATGCATCTGCATCTCTCGTTACAGAGTGTGTCTCATTAAACTGTGGCACGGACGTCAAATGGGTCAGACTATTTGCTGGTTGTTACAGAACGCTTTAATCCTCCTCATTTGAGAGTTTTATTCAAAAGATAATTTAGTGATTTCATTGGTTTATTTTGAAATTTAAAAAAGAAATGCATGAAAACAGGAAACAACTTTTAAGATCTGCACTTTGAGTCTGTTTCAGATTAAAACATAAAATGAGTCAAAGCAGTTAAAACAATCTTTTCTTACTTTAGTAAATGTCTTGATGTTGCCTTCACTTCCTCCCGGACATTCAGTTCAGCCTGAGATGCAGAATGGCTCGATGAAAACTAAAATGTTTGTCTCTTTGCTTTTTGATAATTCAGCTTTTTATCTCCAGGGCTGTGTCTAATTCTTGGATCACATGGACTGTAATTTGTCTTGCACTATTATTTTATTTTGTGTGACTTATCTCCATCCGTACTGGGGACACCAAATGGTGCAGAAAAACAAGTGTAACTGTCAGCTTTGGCTGCGGGCTGGGTCTACTTCCTGCTTCAAACAGCATATCTTATTTTTATTCTGACTGTCTCTTTAAATCTGTTTCTGTGACACTGTCAGAAAAATAATGTTGAACTTTTGACAGGAAGTGAAACTCAAGCACTTCCTGTCTGCTCTGCCTTTGTTTATTCTCTTTTTTTTTGTTTTTGCTACGTGGCCCCTGACTACGTCCTGGACTGAACCTCTGGCACAGGCTGCTTCTGGTGACCGGGCTCTGACTGTCTCCTGGACATAATGCTTGTGGCAGTCTGTGTTTTATGCTGTAACTGCCTGTAACATCTCTGCTTTATTTTTGGTTTGTAAAAAAAAGAATATCCAAATTTCAGTCTGATGTAAAGACGTTAAAATGTGAGAGACGTCGTCGACTGTTTGCGGTGCAGCTTCACGTGTTTAAGGAAACAGACCTCAGATCCTTCACACCAAACTTAGTGGCATTATTACACATGATTGAAAAGATGTGAGAACAGCAGGACGTCACAGTATCGAAGATAAATCTCATTATAAAGATAAAAATATTAACAGTAGTCATAGAGTTGCCGAGCTGCACTGAAAACACACTGATGTTTTCTCTCGGTCCGTCACTGGCTCAGACTGACTGAGCGGGATCGGTCTATGTGCTGGGCAGTGACGTGGCCTGTTGCTTTGTTTTGTTTGTAATGTTTAAATCTGTATATATCTACACGCTGTGACATGACTTCTAACTGTATGAAGAATCAACTGATGTATTTATGACACTGATGATGATCATGACGCTAATTATTGTAACATGGAGAACATATGATAAAATATTGTCTGAAGACGACCTCGTGTCCGCTGTTTTCTTTGCTGACCAGCATTCATCGGCCCGACCTCAGTCTGCGTCTTCACACAGTTCAGGACAAGCTGTCCACAGACAACACACAGTTAATGGAGTCAAATATCAACGTTCAGTTTGGAGACAGTTTGTAGAGCTCAAGTTTGTTTTTGGCAGGTGTCACAGTACACGGCATTTCACAGGAGGCAACTGATGATTTTTGGGGACATAACGATCAGATGTCAGTGAGAAGTAACCAAAAGGGCCTAAACTACGCATTGGAGGGATATATTCATCATATATTCAATGGACATCCAGTAAGAGAATGTCCCAGTGTATGGGAATGGCTATACGCACTGTGATTGGCTCATCGCGTTTGAGGGCGGGGCTTAGCCATAGGTCAATTCATTCGCTAATTCTGACCAAACTTGACACAAATGTCTAACAGGATGAAATAATGAAGGTCAAAAGGTCAAAGGTCAGCTTGACTGTGACATCATCATGTTTTAACGTCATATCTCAGGAACAGAAGGGGAGACATTTGGTCAGATACTGAATTGGTGACTCTAATCTTGAAACTGTGCTGATTGTATAGATCTTCTGTGTGTGAAGCATCCATGTTTTCACTGACATGGATGGAGACTGTCAGAGACACTGGACTGGTGGGCGGAGTCATACAACCACAGAGTGGACTGGTGGGCGGAGTCATACAACCACAGAGTGGACTGGTGGGCGGAGTCATACAACCACGTGATTCAAATTTATCTTTGTCTTTATAAATGATTATTTTCACAGAAACAGAATTTAGATCAAAAAAGACACAAAAAGTAAGTTTAGTGGGGAAGTCTCTTTACATTTATTTCTAACATCTTGCTGATGTATTTAAATAGTGAAACTATTTTTAAATATATTAGTACTAATAACAATATTTTTGAGTGATTATCTCTGAAGATTTGAACAGTTTATAAACAATGTGTCTGTTCTTTTAAATTATATTTTGGGCTCCTGTCAGTTTGTTCTTTTTTAAATGAAAGAAATGATGGATCAGACTTGTAGCTGAGTTCAGGCTGGAAATAAAAGGACACCATGTGTGTGAGGAGTGTGAGCTCAGTTTAAAAGGCAAAAAGTCCACAGAAAGAATCAACCATGATTTTGCAGGGCTCGGTCTACTTCCTGGACGACACGGCCCACTGGAGGAAACTTTCCATTGAACTGAAGTTTGGTTCTTGAGTTCTCTGCAGGTGACGATACAACAGCTCTGTGAATCCTGCACACAAACTGTCAGGAGGGCTGACTCCGCCCCCCCCCCCATCCTTCCCACAATCCTCTCTGTTTGTTGATTAAAACTCTTCCTGCTCTCAGTAAAGTTTGGTGATGGAGGTCGAGTTTGGGGCTCTCAGCGGGGGACGCTCCACCGCACTGCCGCTAATTAGCTGTCCGGTACTTCCTGTCCCGCAGAGAGGGAGACTGATTAGAGAGGTGACCGCTCTCTGCTGACGGGGTCCGCCTTAACGAGATAGCGTCTGATTGGCCGGACCGAGGGTTAATTGAAGAGGAGGAAGCTGATGATGAGTTAAATGTGGTTTTAATTAAAAGGAGAGCTCAGAGGGAGGCTGGCTGTTCCACCTGTCTGTCTGTCTGTCTGTCCATCAGTCCATCTATCTGTCCATCTTAAACCCATCCCTGATTGTTTATGGCAGTCATTTATTAGAAAACAAAAAAGCAAAAAACCCAAATATTTTATTCCAGGCTTTAGACAGCCCCCCTCTCATTGGGGCCCTGGATAATCAGTCCCACTTTACCTCTGCTACGATGCCTCTGAAAACACTATCAGGAAATACAGTATCTGATCATCACAATCTATAACACACACACACACACACACACACACAGCAGCAGATATCATCTCCACATGTTGTTCTATAATTAAACTGTGGTCCTCAGGATCAGACCGCAGCTGCACGAGACACACAACACTGTACTTCCTGTTCCACCAGCTTCTGTTACACACATTATGCAGTGTGTGTACACTCAGTGTCCACTTTATTAGGTACACCTTGCTGGTACAGGGTTGGACCCCTTTTTAATTCTTGGTGTCACAGACTCAACAAGGTGCTGGAAACATTCCTGAGATCTGGGTCCATATTGACATGATGACATCACACAGTTGATCCATGATGTTCCAGCACATCCCAAAGGTGCTCTATTGGACTGAGATCAGGTGACTGTGGAGGCCATTGGAGTACAGTGAACTCATCGTCATGTTTGAGATGATGTGAGCTTTGAGCATCAAAACAGAGTCACACACACTAAATAACTAAAATAACTTATTTTGCAGAATCTCAGAATGATATTAAATTATGTTATTATAGTTATTGATGCATTAATGTGTTGATCAGTTGGTACAGGTCGAGATAATGTTAACGACTTTATAAACTGCAGGTAGCTTCATCAATAATAATACAACATCATTTATTATTGATTATATTTGGTATCAATAATCTGAATCTGTAAATTAATTCAAGATATCACACAGTACAATATTTACCTCTGTACTGTAGAATAAAGAAACATAAACTGCTCTCAGGTGGGTGCTTTCCCTCCTTCTTCTTCTCCAGTGTTGAGTGTCTGTATTTTGGTGAAACAGCGCCCCCTGGATTGTGACTGCTGTTGACTGTCTGAAGGCTGTGGTGAGAAGTGGTACTGCAGCCGGACAGCTGCGGTCACGGTGATGTGAGCAGGTGAAGCAGGTTACCTTTGATACAAAAACCAGTATAAACTGGTCAGGTGAGTTCATGTCCACTCGCCAAACTGGGACTGACTGGAGGAACAGTCACGGGGTTAGTTAAGCGTCATTCTGACGTCACGGCGGAGAGGAAAGTTAGTTTAGAGTTGTTTTAATGAAAATTCCAGTCGAGTTAGCTAACCTTTCACAGTGGCTAATAACGTTAGCTCGTTAGCATCAACAGCGACAACAACCAAGGCTATTCAAGAGAAGGCTGAGACACGGGTCAAACATGGGGGGATTGCACATGTGCAGTAAAATCTGGTCTGCACTTCCTCAAAGGCTCAGTAGATGGCGTGAGACCGCAGAATAAGGGGGATGTGCATGCATGTCATTTTCACAGCTTATTACTGGACTGTCACTGGTGGCCTGCGTTGTGGGTGAGAATAACAGAGATGCAATTCCGACAACTTCAGGCAGCCGCCGTCCAAAAGTCCAAGCAGACCTCACCAAGCGCACTCCTTGATCGCCTGAGCAGATCCTACGCTTTTTATCTAGCGCCCCTGCTGTCACCCTCCAGCATCGCAGCTCAAGTTACACTGAGCATGTGCAATCCCCCCATGTTTGACCCCGTGTCCCAGCCTTCTCTTGAATAGCCTTGACAACAGCTGGACTACAGCTAGTGACGTCAGCATTAACCACTTCACCGCCATGATGGAAAAACAACAGGTGAGTCTGATACATCTGCTGTCTGTCTGTCTGATTGTCTGTCTGTCTGTCTGTCTGTGGTTCTGTCTCACTGATCATCTCTTTGTCTCAGACTGTACTTTCTGTCACACACCACAGTAACATGATCACCAGTGTGTGTGTGTGTGTGTCCTTTCACCTGTTCAGACTGTGTGTTCTTTCCTGATGTAACCTGATCCTGTCTGTTTGTCTGTCTGTCTGTGTGTCTGTCTGTCAGAGGGACTCACTGTACAGACAGACACCTCTTCATGTCCTCATTAATCATCCAGTCATATTTATGTTCATATTTAAACGTGCTGCCGTGTTGCCTTCACTGTCTCTGCTGATAGCCTGTAACTGTCAGTGTTGTAGGCTTTACAGGGTGACACAGGTTGTGACCTAAAACCTGAGACTGTCCCCGCCCCTCTTGGTCCCCTCTGACAGTCTGTGGACTGATGTTGGGACAGACTTTCCAGGAGGATCTGCAGGACGTGACGTCACACACACTCCTGAGTGTTTTCATCCCTCAGCTCAGCTGCAGCACTGACTGTGTCTACAGCCACATATATTCCTACTGAGCCTTGAACATGGCAAATGACAGCTAATTTCTTCTGGCTGTGCGTCTCTGCTCCAGCCTGAATACTGCTGGTTAGTTGGTTTGTGTACAGCGTTTCCATGACGACACACAGAGAGGACTGTAAACAGACAGCAGGCTGTGTGTCACACACTGCGCCACTTCTACATGTTGATGAAAACATGTTTCTGTTTAACTTGAGTGAGGACTTGGACCTGTAGTGGATTACTTCACAGTGCAGTTACTGCAGTAAATACTCTGATTACTTGTTGTAGTTTTTCCAGGCGTCACCATGTGACCAGTGATCCTGTGTTCATCATCACCTGAGCCGTTGTGTCGTGTGTGTGTCAGCTCAGCTGTGGATCTGTCTGCGAGGCGTTCAGGGCCCACGTCTCTCTCAGCCAGACGCAGCTTCATTATGTTGAGCGCGTGTCTATCAGTCTACCTGTCGGCCTTATCTACCTGTGGATCAGCGGGTGACACGCTGAGCCGACAGTCTGTCTCCGCGCCGCCGAGCTTTGGCTTCATCCCCAGATTCAGTTTGTGTCGGGCTGTCAGACGTGACGAGGACGAGTCGTGTCTGCCAGCTGGGACACTCGCAGCGTTTTGTTTGACTAAACACTCATTAGGCATCAGTGTGTGGCGTTCAGGAACAGGCTGTCTGCTGCTCTGATGCAGGACAGATAGATCCAGGGAGGACGAGGACTTCTGGAAATGAATATTACTATTTCATCTCTCAGTTCGTTTATATAAAATATTAGAAAACAGTAAAAACTGATTGTTAAAGTTCAAAGATAGGAAAGAACTGTTTGACTCTCAAAGCAGATCTCATGTTAAGACTCAAACCAACATGTTTGTCTGTGTCTCAGCTCTGAGCCCATTGGTTTCTACTGAGGAGGTAAATCTTTAAAAACACATATATATAATTTCATCAGCTGTTTTTTCTAAAACCAACTCATCAAATGCTGACACCAGGTCAGTGGT